AAATTCGTCTATGAGGTACATTAGAAATGAGTAGAATCCTGCCTGGATTAGAATGAGTCATATTGCACATCTCGTCAAAGAACTGTTAGATGTGCCATCTAGATCACATGTCTGTATACGATTCGAACGCCGAGAGATGCTGCACGGTTAACTAACCACAAGCAAAATACACTACCTAACACTGAGTAAAATCTGCGAGATGCCAACCGATACGTCGGTAATCTTTTATCTCTCGATATACTGTTAATTTGCATTGTGCAACGCGAAAACGACTTTCCTGGATCGATTTTAGTGTCATGAGATATTTCTAATGTTGTCTAATATGTTTAATTCGTTCTTCCTTTGTGGTCCATTGTATACCAATTTTCGATCATAGGAACGCCTACGATCTCGGTAAAGCTGCATGCAATCGCAGAAAAGTAAAGTATCGTAGTAAAGCTGATAAATAAATTTGCAAATTTTTTTTGCTCATTGGCGAAACATTTATCGCCTTCCTTGAGAATCATCGACTATCTGCAGGCAACTCTTCAGCATTTCTTGTGCAGAATTCACTACTGTTGAATTTCGTGCAAACTATGTTTGCATTAACAATTTTCAGGACTCTTGTAATATGTTCTTGGTTGGCTGTTTATCTGCATATAATAAAATGATTGTTTGAAATCAGCTTCTGAGTTTGAAGACGTAGTATTTAGCGGTCAAACGGCTCAGAAGGTCACTGTTTAAACGACATCTCAGCCATAATGGTATTACATGTTCTCTACATTCTCCAACAGTTACCGATTGTCACATTAGTATAAAAAAAGAACCCTGTCCAGAGTAAAAATTTTTTGGCAAAAAATTAGACTCCCAATTTTAGCTGCCACTTGATTCCATATTGTTTACATACTAAATACGAAAAAATGAATTTGTAAATTTTAAAGAATTTTATGCTACTTTAATGCCTTGTATTACCAACTGTCGTTAGGAGTAGCAAAACTTACTTTATTTTTAAACACAGGTCACACCTTGTGTTGATTTTAGTCAGCAAATGGTTGAATCAAGGTGAATTGTAGCCGTGAAGTGCATGCCTGATATACTGGCGCATGCCTCGGAAGTCCTGTGATAACCACATAGCGTTCCGTATTTGCAATTCACTCCCCTCCTCACCTTGCTAGACGTTTCTCCGCTGGTTGCACTGAAGGAAAATGGTATGAATTTCGCTTTCGAGAGAACATAGCAGTTACCATAACGACATATTACGGCCCAAATATTGGGACTCGAAAACGACATATAAAGTGCAAAGCAATAAAACAATCCACCACACACTGCCATTCCTTTCGTTTTCAATATTCTGCGAAACAAATTATCTCATGACAGAATTTTGCATCTCAATTTTGGTAGATGATGCAAAACTTGTAAACCAAACACCTTAATCGACGTTAATTGATTGCGAAACTGTTTAACACCAAAAGTAGCTTCTCCCACAATCAGCTGAGAAGAGACCCGAGCAGGCTATTGCACTTAAAGTAGTGACGCGACCTACCATCCCTGCAATGAAATACCGTTTTGGTTACTCCGATAGTCTTTGATGTCAAAATAATAAGCTCTAATGCTATGGCCTCGATGGCTTCAAATGCTATTAAGCGTTTACAAAATGGAACACTGTAAACGGAGTGCCCCATACCAATTCGGGGAGCAAACGTTAAGCATTATAAGATTACATATTTTGCGAATCACATTACCAACATTTACTTCAATGTCTATTTACACTTAAGCGCACACTACTTTTTGCACACCTCAAATGTGCGCAATTTTCTACCAGCTTTGAAACTATTTTGCAGGAGAAATTACAAGTGCACACATTCTGAACGCAATTTTGAGCATACATAATATACAAATTTTCACATTCGCATTATTTTTCAAAGTTCGTGTCGTACTTTATATTCAAAACAAGAGTATTTCGTTCGTGCGCTGGTGGTCATACTGAACAAACAGCGTAAAACACGGTTTAAAGCCGCTCAAGACGTGGTATCTTCTTCCGGCTAGGAAAAGCGTCAACTGTTGCGGACAACTAACCATACCGGCTAAACCCAACCAGCCATTTACATCGAAGAAGGACTGAGACACGGGCCGAAACGTTGGTACAGATCCATCACCCGCCTGATATCATCTTTTGCACTGTGCATTAAACCATGTTTAAACGCTGTTTTTTCGATATTCAAAACATATTACCGTCGAAGTACCTGACTGCCTGGCTTTAGCTAATAAGTTTCAAAGCGTAAAAATATTCAACTACAAGGTTCAGTTCAGTTTGTTTCGTAAACAATCTACATTCGCCATAACGTTTAATAGTTTATACACATTATGTACGCGTCATCGACAGTTACTGTTTGTTACACATTGGTATGAGAACACGGCAAAGCGTAGTTTGCCATATTTATTATTTGCACAGCAAATTAGATTCCCCTGCAAGGTGACCTGCCGAAGACATCAGGCATATCGAACAACGAGGTCACCATTGACCGCAATGAGAAGAATGTTTGACCTTCTTTCGCTTGGCAGTGAATATGGAATAGAGAAAGAGGGCATAAGCTCGTTCTGTAAGACTTCTTCAGGGCTGGCTGCGTCGTGACCGACACGCAATCCACCATTGCCTGCTTGTGAAAGGCTGCCGCCGCTGCCTTCGCACGCCTTCTATAAGATATACTAAACCGCAGCTCCTTTAGATGGAAACACTGGCGGCACTTTCATGTCTTCTTCACATGGCGACATGTCCACTAAATTAGGAGAGTTGACCGGCGGCTCGCTGTCATCATCGTCGGACATGATGTCGCTGTTTGATGAAGGACTGGACATATGCAGCTTTTCGTCGTCTCCCACGTCATCTTCGTGGTTTTTAACCGTATTACCGTTCTGCGTCACACTAGTCGTGGAACTAACATGCGACAAGGGACTTTTCGATGACTCCGTCTCACCGCCGTTAAGTAGCTCGGCTGGCCTAGTCTGTTTCACGGAATCGACAATCGACACATGTGTCTCCACGGCTGAAAACTGTGTCGTTGAGGAAACTTGAGAGGGGGGACTTTGCTCAGCGATATCCGTACCATCAGCATCCGAATCCTTGAACCATAAACACTTTTTCTTTCTCCTAAGTAAAAGGCAAATTAAAACGTGACCATGGCCACTGACCAAAATTAGAACTCACTTGCAGTGCTTGCACCATTTACTCTGTTGGTCCAATCCAAACCTTGCGCGGCATTTCTTCATCTCCGAATTATCTACAACTAATCAAATATCATAACTCTTTGTCGACGTCTTTGGGAATACTTACCATGACTCTTGTCTTTCTTCCGTTTCTTCTTCTTGTGAACAGCGTAGTTGTCTCGAGCAGACCAACCAGGATACTTTTCCATGTGCAGTTCCCTTTCTTTTCTTGCCATGTCATAATACTTTTGTTGCTCTTGTTTATTGAGCATATGCCACTAAAACATTTAAACTGAAAACAAGACGCCCATATAGATAATTACAGCAATACAGAAGATACAACTTGATATTAAACAGACGGAATGCAGAACAAACTGAATGAGTAAAGAAACGGTGTCAACGATGAAAATTAGAATCAGACAACGACGACTTACCCTTCTGCCCAAAATTCGGTTGATCTCCGCTGACTGTCGCTCTTTCAGACCGACTTCAGCCATCACCTGGGGCCTCATTTCTTTCATGTACAACATGAAGGCGTTCAATGGTTTCTTGATATGCGGCATCTTCGATTCCTTCCTGTCGTCTGACTGTCGTCCGAATGGCTCTGACTTGTCATCATCAGTTCCTTCTGCCGAACTTAACCGACGCAAGAAGGTATTAGCTACACTGGTCACTGTGGTAGTGACTGGCGGCAAAGGTACTTGAGCCATAGAAGCCAGCGGATTACCCGGACTTGACGGAATTCTGATCAGAGGCGGGAGGCCGGGACTGAAATAAAGTGTTAAGCAAAAACTATCGAAACAGTACAGGGAAGAACTTACTTCTGAGAGGCAGGTGCCGTAGGCAGAAAGGGAATAAGCTGAGGTTTGCCAATGACGGGTATCGCTGTGTTCGTATTTGGACTGTTTAGCGGGCTAAGACCATAAGAAGGACTCGATGGCATGCTACCAAACATGGGACTACTCCTTGCAGCGAGGAGACCACTAAAATAAAACCAGAACTACAACACCACGTACAGTGTTCAAACATAAATGAACAGCTGCATCGAATAAATAGTATAGTGGGCTGATTCCTTCTCATTACTTTTAGTTTAGAGCCTTTAGCCTGGTTATGAGCTTCACTGCTAAATTTATAGTACAAGATGTACTGTATTACTGCAAAATAATGTTATTTAATGCTGACTAAACAATGAGAAAGCGATTACAGTGACAAAGTGCAGAATCATCCTGAAAAACGATGCCAGTGAAAATTCTTCGCTCTGTTGATAGCGATTGGCGGAAATATGGACTGTAAAATATCAGCGAATACTAGTAAGTCATTATTTGCAACAAAC